AACTAAACTTTTAAAAATAAATAAAAAAATAAGTTTATTTTTTAAATTCCAAAATTTCTAATGTAGCCACATAAACGGACTATCTTGTCGCCAAAATCTCGTCAGGACAAAATCTCAGCAGGCAAAATCCCGCAAACAAACAAACAAATAAAGTGGACGAATCAAACTACAAGGGAAACGTTTTATCACGATAACTTTTCCTTCACACTTTACTAGGCTTAGAGCTGGCAGGATCCGAAGTGAAATAAAAAGGACACGTTTGAAATACATTAAATGCATATGATTACAAAGTTGTTACGGGCGTATACAATAAAAATATTTCTTTTCAAATGCGTATTATTATATTTGATCTATACATTTATTATAAATCCGAAAATCCGGATTATCGAACTTTAGAAATTTTGGGTGTTTCTAACTACTAATATAAAACTATATTCACTATATTTACTACTGTCACAGTGCAGTATTACAGTTCAATATTAACTAATTTAGTGAACGGAAAATATTTTAATACTTCTAAGAAAGTATTTATAATAAGTAAGTTTTTAAATAATACGAGTAAGTAAAATATTAGGTAGGTATATAAAATTATAAGGCCCCCAGGCCATAATTTACAGATAATCTGGAGCATCCGGGAAAATTACTATTTCCAGACTGGCCACTCGACCTCTGGCTTTAACCAATAATGATATAAATTTCTTCCCAACTTCTCACATATAACAGTGATGCATCCATCAGCATTATCAGTTCTTTTATTTTAGAGAATTAAGAGCGTCACAAACATTTTGCAAATTCACCAATTAATGCAATTTGCCTTCTAACATGTAAATCGGCTATAAGTGAGGAAGTAAGGACTGAAAAAATTACGACATTTTTGTAATAATCAAAAACTCCCGTTATAGTTTAATATTTTCGGTTCTTACTATTTTCGAATAACTGTACGATGACGGATATATTGCTGCTTATTTTGGTACCTCTTGGCTCTTAATGATCATTTTAGTTGACGGGTGACAAAATGTTCTCGAAAATTCTTCACATTAAATGTGTATGTGTATGTATATGTATTGTATGTGTGTATGTGTGTATGTATCTCTAAAAAATAGTAAAAATGATTTATTTAGAGAGGAAAATGTACTTATTTTGCCTTTTACAGAAAAAAAAAAAAATAATAATAATACTTAGCGAACATGTTTATACACATTGATCGAAAAACACATCAAAGTTACCGACTTAGAAATTAGTTTTAAATTTTAGTGTACAGAACAAAATATCTATTATATTGTTGATGTTTATACTACCTATATATTCTATCACAAACCAATAACCGTTACGTGACTTTGACGTTTCATAAAAGATAAGGGAGGTATTACGTTTTCAGATAGCTTTATAAATGCTTAGATAATGTTTAAATTTGAGAGCAAACAAAATATATATAAACCTAAACAATGGAAAATTTCTCCGAACATGTTTACAAATAAAAAAGTGTGGGTACTGAAATATCGGCCGTATTCATTTCTTCTAAAAATGAATTTTCCATCACTGTTCATTTACCTTCAAAAACCACATAACATATGTATATATAAAGTATATTCATTTCATTCACTTTGTATGCTCCTCAATTACCCAAATACTAAAATTACGAAGAAATTAGTATCCTTCTAATAAATACCTATGCATTTTACATTTTATTCTATTAATTAGAGGTCATAGGAACATAGAAATAGTGCTGGCGTTACAAATTGCGGGGGTCTGGTGTAAAATAGTTTTGCGGGGTTCTTTTTGTAGTTTCTTCTTCATGCTGTGTTCATAAATAAGAACGTTGATTCTAAATTTCTAATACATTTTCCAGTAAACAATTACACATACATCAGAGATAAAAAATATTTAATACTAGTTAGGTAAACTAAAATATCTTAGATACACTGTTAAATAAAATAATGTGTAAAAATCGATAATATTTACTTTACTATTTACTATTTTCACATATTTATAGTATCTACTTATTAGATAACAATTTATTAAGAAATAGATTGTATTAGTTAATACATAATACATAATATATATATATAAATATATGTATTTGTTTAATTTAAAATATAAGGCATAGGTCTCTTAAATAGTTAAATCGTGGCTTAAATAAATAAATAAATAAATAAATCATACTAAATCATTTAATTACGAGTTAATGACAAGAAACAAATAAAATATATTAACAAGTGTAATTTATTATAACATTACTTATTAGTCGTTGCAAAAAAAAAAAAAAAAGTATATAAACTGAAGCATCTATTGGCAACTAATGAATTTGTGTAAAACAATCAGTAAATATACATTTCTAGGTGGTTTTGTCGTGTGCATATAAAAGAGAAATTCATAATGATCAGCATATTATGTCATAAACTATAGACAAACGCGGCAGTAAAGAATGAGCGTACGGAATCATAATTTACAGTGTAAAGTTTACACGTAAATGAGTAACTACGGCTATGTTGCAACAAATCTGGGCAAGAAAAACGTATGCAATCGTCCGTACGGAATAATAATCTAACCATATATGTGTATTGATTCGTGTAATAAAAACTACATGCGTAGATATTTTAAGTATAAGTATAGAATGGAAAATTGGGTAATAATTTGAAAATTGTTCGATTATTGTTGTCGGGTCCATCCGTGTGTTCCTTATCAAATAATATTCCTCGTCTAGTTTTTAATCCTATGGAACACCAGATTGATTAATGAGTCAATTCCATCACCTTGCGCATCAGTTATGTTTGTTGGATGTCCATCAGATGCATTGAGAGGGAATCGGATTGGCAATCAGATGTACACAATTTTCGATGAATATCGAAAAATAACAGATTTCTATTTTGATTGATCATCGAGTCTAATGAGGAACATATGGGTAGTAGGACCGAACCATTGCTCAACCATTGTCTATTGTATACGTGTATTTAAAATACACATTTTTGGAAGAAAATGGTGCCACTTGAAAAACCATATAACAAAGTAGCTCAAAGAAGTAGTAGGTACACTCAAATTAATATATTTTGTATACTTCCATAGTTATGTATAAACTACTAAGTCATATTTACAATCAGATACTAATCAACTATTTTTAAGAAAATTATCAATTTGACCGGTAAAAGGGTCGCAGCAAAAACACAAAAGATGTTGGATCATTAAAGTAGATATTTAGATATTATGTGCAAATATTTTATAGTATATTTTAAAGTAGGTAGGTACAATATATTATAATCGTTACGATTTATCTAAAAGCTCGTAACAAAAGACGAAATGTATAAAACGAAATAGGATGTTCACATAGAGGTTTTACAGACCTTCATACAGCTCAATCAGTCCAATTTTAAATATTCTAAAATGTTTTAAATTATCTATATATTTAATTTATCATGAGAGCCTGAAATTATTGAATTATTATCATTTGTTTTTTTAATTTTTAGCAGTTCGGGAAATCTTCGGATGGGAATTTTAATTAAAATTTGAAAGTCATTTCAACGTCGATTCTAATGTACGTATTATTATGAGATCTTGATGAGCTAAAGCAAATTTTCAAGACGTTAATAATGTACTGTATTACAGCTAAAGGTTTGAATATACCTCTATATATATTAAATATTTGTATTTGTGTATGTTCAGCAATAGTTTACAGTAGTCAATCGTGTTGGTGTACAAGTTGAATAGTAAGTTAGCAAGTAAGTTACTCATAATATTTGTACATTGTCTATTTGCACGTATACAATACGAGGACGTATAATGTTAACAAACGATAATAATATACAATGTTGTTTTAACATAATATCGTCTTATTTTCGTGATAAGACATTTTCTGTTTAAATAATTTTCATCTGAGTTTTTGTTCTATGATATTACATCGAAACGACCGATTAATTTTAATACAGGTAATTTTATATTTTTGTTTTATTTAAAATAAATACAATAGTCGATAAAAAAAAATGCTAGATTCCGAGCATAACTAATAACCAGATTAGTTTCCTAATGATAAATTAATAAATTTAATTCAGATGTGTTATTTTTTGTAATTTTTGGTGAGAAAAAAAGGCTTAAAATCGTTCACATATTTTTTATTTGAATATTTTTTTTTAGGTTCCTATCTACATTTGTTCTAAAAAACTAAAAACACTTGATAACAAATGGTGGTACATAGGTTTTTTTTTTAGGTGCTGGGTGTAGTGAAGAAGTTCAAGAAGGTATTAGTAGTTTTACCAATATGACGTGCTATATACAATATGTGCTAATATTTGAGTTAATTTACTCAGAAAATACTTTTTCGGTTAGTAAAAATGGTTCAATTTTTTTTCTTGTTACCCTAGAAGATTTGGATTTTTGCCCAGTGAAATATTTGAAATAATTACCGAGATTTTTAGCAATTTGCCTTATAGGTCGTTGCATACAGTATATAAATAAATAAAACAATGTAAAGCAAACTACTGTGTAATTATTCCAACTGTCCACCTATAACAGTAGCTTACTTGTGGGCAGTATCAACTTTTTTATATTTTGATTTCCGATTTTCCTTCGCTATAAGGTAATTTATCTTACAAGTTTATCGAGCTCCGCTCAGAACAGTTTTTTGATATCAATGATTTATTGTTGCTTTAAGTACACAAACTATATAATAACTCTAATATGTATAACCTTCTGAACTTCCCGTGCTCTACAGTGGCTATTATCACGGTACGAGGCCTTGTTCGGCCTTTTCAAATTTGAATTTATACTCGAGTCAATACAGAAATATATTATTATATATTACTCTACATAATGGTAAACAAGTATATTTTTGCATCAATTGTAATATTATTTAGTTATCTGGCCTGTGTGATATTTTAATAGCATAATATTATTCGGTTACCATGTGCTGATGGACAGAGTTATGTTCATTAATATAGATATTACTAGATTAATTTATAATTATTTATTTTTGTAAATACTCACGGAATTTATTTTTTCGAAATCTCAACATGAATAATTCACCAAGAACGCAAAATATCAATCGTTTCGTGGTGCATTTGGTGAAGAGTTGTATTCCATATTTGTCGGTAAGCGACAGTCAAATGGAAAAGAAATGTAAAGACTTGGATTTGTTGCACACCATATGGGACAAAGACACCAGTGAAGGTAAATTATTATTATTTTTGATATTGACGTTTTTCTGAAACATTATAACTCAAAAGTGAATGACTTAATATCCTAAAATTACGTATACGAAATATTAAAATATCTATTTGAAAATATTGAACTAAGTCCTCTCGTTAAGTAAAATAAATGAAAATGCTGGACTCGCAGTTTAAAAACAAATATGTTGAACAGACTCGTTAAAACTATGTACCAAGTAATAACTTCTTTCTGTATAAAATTCTTATAACGTTTGAATATTACGTTGAAATGTTAAATTTTCAGTCTACAGTAGGTGTAAATTAGAGCGGAGCGAGAATAAGTTAATACTTTTCGAATAATGTGCGTGTTCTTTATTCTCTCGAATTTTGAGTAGGTTAAAAAGCACAAAAGGTTATTATCCAGCGTATTTTTCAGTAAAGTAATTGATTACAGACGCATTTAATTCTATTTGGTTTTTCGATTTCTCGATACCTATTGCGGTGTTTTCTTGAGCGTACACGAAAAAACTACCGGAAGCGTTAAAAAAAAATATACAAATAATAAACATAATATAATTCAATACCAATTTTAGACCACTCAAATGACGGTGATAACGGGGCTTATAAATTTCGGAAAAAATAAAGAGAGTATAATCGAATATAATTGAAAAAGTATAATTTTATTTATTTATTTTTTTTTTTTTTTATAATTAACTCCTTTTAAAAGGATAATATAAAATTTAATTTCAATAAATAATTTAAACAAAAAAAAAAAAAATACTTTCCAAAATAACACACCTAAGTGGTTCAATCGGAAATCTAAAATGTCCGCGGAAAAGCCAGGTCTTTGTCCGGTTAGATCTGAATTAATCTCGCATTGTTTTGTATTTTTCATTATTCTCTGTTGAATATTGTATATGTTGCCACTAGACTAGAACTCTGTCGGATTTTTTTTTTTTTTTTGAAAACAATAGGATTTTTTTCTCCAATATTTTATTATTTATTCCCCGGACTTTTTTTCCTACTCCCAGTTAACAACAGTTATTATAAGGTATACCACTGTAAACTCTAATAATATGATTTTAATATTTCGTCGCAGTTTATACGGCCAAAGTGTACGCAGCCGTTACGAAAATGTTTGCGTCCAACGTGTTCCGTCCGTTGCCGCCGTCGTCGTACACGCTGGCCGCGGAAAACGAAGCCATCGTCGCTGTGGCTGCGTCCATCGGCATGCCCCCCGTCATGCCCAAACCCGATTACGACATGATGGCGTCCGCGGCCGAGTTCACGCAGACTGCCATCACCTATCAGGCGTTCCAATCGTTCGTCGACCGGACCGAGTTCGACGCCGAAGTGGCCAGCCAATTCTTTGACCGGCGTTTCGTCAACGGCCTGGCGCACCGACTCAACTCGGGCGATTCGTACGAGCGGCAGACCGTTCGCGACACAATGGCCCGGATGTGGTATGCCTGTCCGTTCATCCACGAACACATGTTGGACGCCGTTGTCGCCGAATTGGCCGACTTCGCTTACGGCTACGTGCCTAGACACAACGGCATCGACGACTTGCTCCATTTTCTGGCCAACAATGTCGTCTACGAGGACGTCTGCCAGTTGCCCATTCTCAAGGTGTCTATAATATAATACCAACTGGTACATTGGACACGGTTAAATAGGTTTGTTCCAACACGGAATTCGGTACTAGTTGTGGATCAGTAATTGATTTACTGTGCATGTGCTAACGTGGACTGATCATAGATTCGGAGCTTTGTGGGAAAGCGTTGGAACGCGTTACGGACCAACTCTCGAATTGTGTCGATGGTTGTAGAAAATAGATAAGGCAGTGAACATGATAAGAATGAATCTCGTGTCTTTTGTAGCAAAACGTTTGTTATACTTTATTTATTTGTAGCGTTTTGTGTTAAAAAGACAAGAATGAGTGATACTGACGATTTGAATGACCACCTAGCATCCAGTTCTTCAACTGACGATGGATTAAAGTTAATCAATCACTAAAAAAAAAAAAAAATCAAAATTTCTTAAGTGAATAGTAGATGAGTATCTTTTTGAGAATATTTTTCGAGAGAAAATTAACTACGCACGAAAGTTGAAACAACAGTAACCGATAACAGTACAAAACCGTGAAATGGTTACCTACACATTCGAACGTAAATAATTAATAGCATATATACAAAAACTCCAATAAATAAATGATAACAGGATCTCTGACTGCTAGTCCCCATCCGAATCAGTGGATTATTTTGACTGTCAGAAACCAATACCAAAACTGTGTTAGTGCCGTGTTGGAACAACACAAGTTTTAGTTTTAGGAAAAATCTTTGATATCGAATCATTCCATATTTGTAAATTACACTGTTTTATTTTCTTCTTCCATAGGTCTATTCTTGTCACTTTCCGTGCTAGTTTGGTGCTGATTGTTGTATTCAGAAAGTTTTCCCGATACCCAAATCGGCTACCCATGAGATTACCTCTTGTCTTGTGTTTAGGGGTACTAACATGCCCAGTTTTTGTAAATTCTCGGCTGGGACAGCGGATGGCGGTTATAATTGAAGTTCAAGAGAGAGGGTGAAATTAGTTAAAATCTTCTCCTCTTCCCCCCCCCCTAAACAAAAATAAATATAATAATATAAAGTTATGTTTTTGATTTTTCGCGTAATGGTCATTTTTTGAAAATGTTTTGGAAATTCTTAATAATTTTTCCGATTTACTTTTTACTTTTTCACGCAGCACACTTTATAAAATTTTGGAATTTACACCAATGCGATAGTACTTTACTTTAAGCATTTCATGAAATTTTTAACAATACCCTAGATTCTTTATTTGGTTTTATTTTTAAAAATTATGTTTTCAATTATGTTCTAAATTGTATACAAATTAGTTTATAGGAATTAAGGATTTTCGGCATTAATATGTTATCCCATTGATAATGCATTGTTAAAGATTTATTTTGATCGTTACAATAAAAGCTTTTGGGCGGTTTAAAAAAAAAAAAATAATATGTTAATCTATCATTCAACTAGATATGTTAATTGAAGTAATTCATAAGGTGGTTAATATTATGATGTTATATGTAGTCCATAATAATGATAAATTAATTTATATTCAGTAGAAAATTACTTAAATTTTAAGCATTAAAGTTCACAAAACAGTGAAAGCCTCTGTATTTCGCAGGAATCGTCGATGGTGTTAATATTACCGATATGTTTCTTTTTTGGTAAAAACCGTAATGTTATGCTCGCACACAACATGTATATGATTATTTATATTTATAAAAGTGTGACTAAAATATTTAAATACGGTCGGGTACTTGGTATTTAGTAAAAATAAAGTTGTTAATGTAGTAAATACAAATGATATTGGTTATTCGAGAGAGAAACACAATTTTTCGTAGTCAAAGCATGACAATAAACAATGGTCAGGAAAATAAAATTCCCATAGCGGTCGGCGTTTCTTCGTTATTATCGCCGCCGTAGCATAAACAAAATTATTACTAAAAAAAAAAGGCGTTTCATCTTCTATTTTAGTTTCATGATTAACGGATCATCATTCATCGTAAGTCTCTTAAATCAAAAAATAACGGTTTTTTTCTTGATGTCTCGAACGTCTTGTCCGCTTGAGAAATCTTCTGAACGATCACTCTGTGGAGAACTCCGTACACAACAAGTACGCACTACCAAATTTTTTTGAAAATCTCTCTCGAATAGCTAGCTTCGATTTTTAACAGCTGATCACTTGTGTTTGATTTCTTTATTAATTAATTTTAATAATTCTTCAACCTTTTGTCTTTCTAATTGATTCATTTTTTTTTTTTATAACGGTTTGTTCCTTTTGGTACAGTTGTGCAGGGTGCTCACGCATTTACTCAAACATCCGTTTTTGATTGCGTTTAAGAGCAATTTAATCGAATGCGTGAGGGTGTTGGACAGAACCCAAAAAGAACTGATTCCGCATATGTTGATATTTATCACGAAACTCTGGTCGTTCCAAAACTTGAAAACCATTGTTTTGTTGCGCGCAATGAGCGATTTGTACAATGTTTGTGACACGGACAAATGGATTTCTCTTCAGTTACAGATCGTAGGTCCTCTGTCCAAATTATTCTGCAATGATGATTTTCAGCTGGCTGACGAGTCTATGAATTTTTGGAATCGTATTCTACACGAAAACATGAAATTTTGGCAAAGCAAGCAGGATGATGTCAGAATCGTTGTAAACGCTTTAAAAAAGGTAATAAATAATAATAAGAGAGTACTAGTATGTTATTATTTACTTATTATAAATCGTTTAACTAACGTTTTTGAAATCTGACGTAGGTCATAGTTTCAGGGTATGGGAACATTATATTATTTTTCGATTACTTTTTTTTTGGTTTTTTCTTGAAACCGAATTTCTTCGATTTCCTGTTGTGCGTGACAATTTGGAAATCGATAACAATAAATTAACACTTTCCTTATTAAAAGTTTTGTGTAGTACGTCATTTCAATAAAAGTATATTGGCGTATATTGTGTGTATTATAGTAAAACGATTTAAAATTGATTTAAAATTGGTAAATAGGTGAAACGTATTCACTGGAACTTAGATTGCGTGAACATAGCCAGCAGTCTATTGGATTTCATGGTAGCCAAACATGTAATAAAAGACAATTACATGGAAGACTCCGAAGAGATGTTCCAGGAAGGAATACGCAGTGGGGTAAACTACGATTACACGTACAAGAGCATTCAGAAACTGGTATCACCTAAAATATCTTCGACGTTGCCGTCGTCAACGGATATGCCAACTACCGAATTATGATCAATTTTTGTTTGAAACTTCACTCCACAGTTGCTGTCTGAATGTAAATCCACACAGATTTATAATAAGGAATTATTATAGAAATATAAATATTGGGAAATTACGTTTATCAATATTAAGATGGTTATGTTATATGAACCAAAATATATGTATTGTTATTATTAATATTATTTTTATTTTTTAATAAATAACATTAAAAAAAAAAAAAAAATGTAAAATAAATTAACGTGTTAATTAGTCGGCGATTATAAATTCCGCATCAAAACCCGTAATAAACCAGTCGAATAGAGTTGATATTTTGAATAGTTTTGTACTGTGATGTTATTTTATTATAAGATCTACATAATCTCTAAACTCAATATTTTACTAACTCTTCTAATTATACAGCTAACAACGCGTACAAATAATATTTCCTAGAGTAATAAATACGGCGAATCTAGAAATAAACTGTAAATTACAATAGGTATAGAACTTAAGAGGACGTGTTACTAACATGTGTGATCTCCGTCACTACATACGTGTACGACATAGCAAATTTGAGTTTAGCAGGGACAAATGTGTGTTATTAGTTTTTATATTACAGTAAATTGACCTATTATCAAACATGAAGATATGACAATGAAAACATGAAAACATGGAGTATTATCGGTGCAACCTTGGCGTTATTTTTCGATATTATAATTTTCAAGCGAGATATACGTATTATCATATTACACAGTTAACGTCCAGTATACGTGAGCTAGAGACCGAGGTACACAAATTATTGTTTTTTGTTCCCGGTGTGATCAAATCAGATAAATTGTGCCTATATAATCATGCGTTTAATCAATGATTCGAGTCAACATTTTAGAATAATTATATTTTGTTAATAAGTTTTGTATTAAATAATAACGGTCGACCTTTTGATAAATATTTTCAGACATCGTCGCTATAAAGATCGAAATTCATAATTTCTAAATAGTTGCTCGTTCTCAACATTTTAATTTAAACGCAATCAAAATATTAATTACTCATATAAGACTGTAAGTCAAAATTAATAAATTCTCCGACCGATTACGTTTTAGTTAGAGACGATAAGAAATGTATAAAGAAAATATTTTCAAATTAAATTAGTTTCAAAAAGAAAATAATAATCATTTTAACTCGAGCAAATCTGGTTTATACAATTAGAAAGTAATTAAAATTAAAAATTTGATTATATAGTATATACCTAGGTACCTAATTTATATTATTTTAATTTGTTATGATTGTATCCATGGTGTATACACAATCGTTTATTACAATATCAACAGTACCTACATATCTTTAGTTTAATTTTGATTTTAAGAGTTATTTCTTGTATGAAATATTAAAAACAAAAATGTACACATTGTCTTTATTGATCATTTGACAGATAAGAGTCCAACTGTAATTATTTTCCACTGTTTAGAATGCGACATCTATTATCGATAGGCGTATTTGATAAACGATTACTCAATACACTGGTTCTACCTTACCGTTATGCAAAAATGTACAACAAAATCGGAAGTAGAAAGAGAAAAGAATACGTAATATATATTAATGGTAGTATTTTTTTTATAAAAGGAATTGATATATCACAGAATATGATTAATTTTGTTTAGAAAAATTAATGATAAATCAATAGAGGAAAGATTTGTAGGGAAGTACACTTCATGTGAGGTGAATGGCCAACGTCATTTACTGTTTAAACATATTTGTTTTCTGTGAATTTGTGATCATTTTTTTTTTAACTACCGATGAAAATAATATAATTTGTGATGCATGTATTTCTTTGTACGACTTTGTACTTTGGTTTTCCTCTATAAGTGCTATAGAAGATCTTCGCAGAAATATTAAAAACCTAATATTAAACGAATTTAAACAAATTGATACCGATATCAATGATATCGGAATTAAACAAATCTGCAGTCATCTATGGTATTAAGTACTATCTTTCTAACACTAACTTCATTTGGCCACGGCATTTCATAGGGGTAATTTAACCTCTTAAATAGACGCCGTCATCACCAATCCTTTAAAAATAATTTGTATAAACTGTTATTTATAAGAACTGTTTGGTCTATACTATAAAAAAAATGTACTGTCGAATTAAGTGCTGCGTTACAACACTCAAAGAACGGAAACATAAATACAATCGTTAATAGAAATATAATAATATACCCACGGATTTTATGTACGAAATAAATCATAAAACCAAAATTTGAATGAATATACTTTTTCTAGAGAATAATATTATTTATATTTGTTATTTATTTTTTTTTGCAAAATGCAGTATTAATAGTGTATAATCAGTGTTGGGGAGGAACGAGAAACGGGAAAGAGTTCTTATTTATGAGGACCATGAACTCAAATTCCCGTTTCTAATAAAAAATGAAACTCTCATTATTCTAATGATAATATTATCTATAAATTATGTAGTGATTGTATCACTTTGTCAGATCCTAATGAATTACTACAATATATTATTATAATAATGCAATCCTAACTTTTCCATTTTTATTAACAAAAAAGGCACATATTAAAATATGATAACATTAATATAAACCACGGTAGTATTATACTTGTCTGACCGTGATAATAGTTTAAAATGATAATAAACAATATTATAACATATTTGATAGTGAAAAATGTCAAATTTACAAATAATAATTGATAATGAAATTAACTGACCGCCTTCGCGTGTTTCTATTTGAATTGTTTTGTGCAAATTAGGTATCTACACAAGTATAACTAATAAATACCATTAATACCAAAATAAATGTATATATTTTTAAAGCAAATTAATTAGTAATGTATTAAAATTAAGAATATAAACAAATTATTTTGACTGCATTAGGTATGAATAATAAAAAAAAAAGAACACTTGAAGGAACGAGTTTCTCTTTTTTAAGGAACAATAAACGGGAACGTGTTCCTTTTTTCCAGCAGGAACTTGAAATGGGAATGAATTCCTTTTGAAAAGGAAATTTCCAACACTTTGTGTAATATAGCGATTTATATTAAAACTATGAAAATCGTCCCTTTTTTTTCAAACATATACTTCTTGAGACACGGGTTAAAATTAAAATATATTTCTACAGTTTTAAACATATCATTTTTTTTGATGTTCAGAACATTCCTGTCGAAAATATACATTTAAAAAAAATAAGGATGACTTCAGTAAGTACTCCAGTAATATAACAAAGTATACTGTAAATCTGTTTTCAATGCCATGTCGTTTTAAGACGAAACTTTTCTTATTTAGCAAATCTAAAATTCAAACAGAATAGTTTTTCCTATTTCAGTTCAACTTGATAAGTTAACTTCATAATCGTTATTATTATTATCATTTTTACTGTATTAATTGTCCTTCTTATTATGATTGTAATTTTTGTATAATAATCCATAAGGATTGTTATTATTATCACCATGCAATTTTCGTTAAAAAGATCTACATCTGACAAAAATCTAGGTAATTCCTGTGGTTTAATTTTAAAAATGTAAAGATTTGTGTGTTATAAACATTATTATTGACATAATTATATCGGTAAAATTATGATTTTCACAATCATATTTTTTAAATTTGATTATTTACCATTGCAAAACTCGACGAATCCATACAAATTTCAAGTTTTGTTCTCGTAAATTATCGGGTAAAATTGAAAAAGGCGCTCGGACCGAGTCAGAGTAAACTCGTTAATGAATTCGAATTTATTTTCATTTTTAAAACCGAACTGCTGTAAGTAGCAACATTTCCGTCGGGCGTATACTTACGTAACGTTAATAAATAACGTAAAAACCCCTTTCCCTCAAATGGGCACGGGGCAGTAGATTAGTGGAAACAAGAAAAGTATTATCATTAAGGGGGCCATTAAAAGGTAAAATATTTTTTTTTTTTAAGAAAATTTGGAAAACCGTCTCCAATTCCCTTGGCTTGATAATAAATTAACGACGTTGAATATATATGTATACAATAATAAAACGTAACGAACGAGCTTTTCGTTTTTGTTGTTTTTGTTTTGTTATTCGGTTTTCGTAAATAGAAACCATTAATACGATATTATGTATTATTCGTGTCGGACGAAAAGTATACGGTGTGTGTAATTTCTTGCTGGTTAAACACTATAACGTTTTATTAATGTTACCCACGTATAGTAGGTACCTACTACCTACGTTATTAATACTATTTTTTACCATGCCATTTAACAAACAATAGTTCTGTTTTGTATAATGTAAACGAGGGGGGGGGGAGCATAATTTCTGATGCACTTTTGTCTTTCTGTCTCGAGTGTCTTCTTTGGAATATTATTCTCGTGTGTGTATGTTTTATATAATATGCTAAACATTTTATTATCCTTATGCCGCCGCATTGTTAACCGTATACGCGTTTCCGCGTCACAAAACGATGTCATATTTTTTTAAGTATTATAATTAGTGTATGGGTGAATGTACATACACAAGCACTCGCGCACGCCACTTTTAACAGAGTTTTTTCCGTTATTATATACTATATATTATATATTGTGTATAATATTATAATTAATCTATTTATCTCGTAAGATACCTACGTACAAATCACCACTGCGACTTAGTCCTTTCCGCGGATATTTCAGAAATTATCAGGCGTATTACGCAAAAACCGATATTTCAAATTTTGCGGAATTACAACACGTGACATTCGATAGTTTTACTTTGATGTATAATATTATGGTATACAACCATTTGACATGTTCAAGTTGTTTTTAGTTTTTATTCGGTTCGATGATGTGCGCAAAATTGTTTCAGCCTAAAAGAAAATGACCGGCAATTCATCACGAGATTTATTATAATATTGTCGATGTACTTTGTGGTAAAAAAATAAATAATAACAATAATAATATATTGTACGCATAATAATTTATCAATCTTTATCTAAACTACTGCTATAAGCACGGTTTTCGTTGATGTTTTGTTCGGCGTCGACTCCTTCGCCGGATTCGTGTTCGTTCATTTCGTTCCACAAATTGTGTTTGCGCTCGTATATTTCCATGGGGCTCGGCGCCGTCGACACGCGACTGAAGACTGATGGCTCGGAGATTTTCATAATAATTTCGCACGAAGACTGATTTTTGTTCAACGACGGTTTCTCTTTCGGCAGTTTGGGCAACATACTGGTTACGATTGGCATTATTTTATTCGAAAACCACAAAGGTCCTGCGCGTTATTATATATTAAACGCATAATTTTACGGTATGTCGTCGAGATGTATATTATGAGTAACTACAGTAGTCATTCGGAAAGCAATGCCTGTTCGCGATTATATAGGTCGAAGTGAAATCGTAGCGATCGAGTTGGTCTTAAAAAAAGAATAAAGAGTGCTACAAATCAAAATAGCGTTAAAACTATTTGAGTAGTGGCATTTATAAACGATGACCACCATCACCATCATCTATTCCACCTCAATGGCTCAAAAACAAATTTTCAACATTTAAAGCAATTGCTTCCGCAAAAAAAAAAAATAATATTTGAGTTTGTTTTGGAATCAAAAGGTAAGTGCTACAGAACGAAAGAAGAGGAATGTCGACGGCAGGTATTTTAAAAGTTTAACTCAATCGTTCTAAACTATCCACATTATAGCCCTAAATTGGCACCAAGAAAGAAAAAATTTCCTTCTGAAATACGAATGCCATGATTTTTTTTGGCATAGGTCCCTATTTTAAGTTCTGAAAGTTTGTTATTGAGATGGCGGCACATCTCCGGTGGTTTCCATTTCTAAATGCCACTGCTCGGGTAGTTTTGACGCTACTGAGTAACGACGCCTTTCATTCTTTTTTCGATTTAATGGCAACAGCATTATAACTACGAGTTTCCTTCTATCTATGATCGTAAATAGGCGATACTTTCGGGATGACAACCGTATGTTATACCAAAAAAAAAAAAAAACCAGTCTGGATACTTCAAAAAAAAAAATCGTTTTCTAATGTCTATAATAATTATTTGCTTACCGGTATTTCCGTGCATGTCTGTAGATAACCATACGTTGTTACTATTAAGCGAATAATAATTATTGTTGTTCACGTGAATACCTCGTTGCATGCACATTAAGTCTTCGAACACGAAATATCCTTCCCCGGCCACCTTAAAAAAAAAATCAACAATACATTAATTCTATTATATTATCGATTTGTGTGTACGAAGTACAAATATGACGTTAAGAAGGCATACGTTTTCGTTGTCGTCCCATACGCCGTGAAAAGTAAACCCGGATTCATCACTAGTGGGGAAGTAAAATTCAAAATTCGAAACCCTTTTCCCGTTTGACCACACGCCCTTGAGAACGGCTTTCGATTTACAAAACGAATACGTCCCGACGCCGTGTTTCATGTCGCATTTCCACGATCCTTGATACTTGTCTCCATTGTTGTACGTAAAGGTGCCAACGCCGTCTTTATCGTTATCGTACCATTGGCCTTTATCGACAAAAAAAAAAAAAAAATAGAAAAATCATTTGGTCGCTATTTCAGTGGCAGTGACGCGGCGAATACTGATTTCGCGAGTGATCAAAGACTGTGTTGGAGATGTGATTCACTCGACAATTCGGAGAAACTGGGTCTCACCCAATATCGTGAGAAGTAACGAAAATGAAGTAGAGAAGATTCAGGGGCTTTCTACGCCCTAAAATTTCCATTTTATTATGTATTTTTTTAATGTAATAAGAAACCGAATCGGGGTTCAGTCCACGATCGCGGATTAGCGATCAGAGCAAGTCACATTCTGTGTTGAACTGTAGAAAAGTAATGGATTTTAATCAATCTATATCATAATGTGTTATAAATGTGAACTTGAAAATTTATTAATTTTTAAATTTACGTTTTTCTTTAAATATTCAATTTTGATACTATATTTTAATTTGTAACAGTTAAGTTTGTTACGACAGGCAACTACACCACACGTAATAAAACTGAAATTCGTCAGTTTTTACTTGTTTAGTCATAATAATTGTGTTTTGTCATCTCTTTTACCATAGTAATCACATCTAATGACCCAATGATTAAAAGTATCCAAATGTTGGTAAATGAATAGTGAATATTGAATAGGAATATATTTAATAATTCAAACCAGTAAAATACAATCATTTAGTTTGTGTATGACTTGTTTCAATTTTATAAACGTTTAAAAGGTTTACACTAATAACAGTCATACAAAAGTAGAAAATACAAATAATTTATAACTGTTGAGTCTAAAAATTGTTTAAAATAAATAATACAGTTTTCAACAGATTTTTAATTGTAAATATGAAGGTAAACCTTGATATAAATGATGCTAAACAACAATTTTGGCTTGAATAATTAATAAATATTAAAAATATACGAGTTTTCGAAAATATTCGTGAAAAATTCATGCAATTTTCACAAGGATAAAATTTCTACGATAATTTACATTATCGGTATATTGTACATATAAAAAATGTATCATTGATTTGTTTATAAGAGGGATGTTGGCGATGGTAATTGATACGTATAGACAATTCCTGGGCCTCATAATCGAAATTGTCTACACGCCACTGCAGTTACGTGGCGCCTAATTTAATCTTTTCACAAACTATACATATAGAAAAACAATATAATAGTTTTCTAATAGTATCAATACCGTCGTATTTAGATTTGTCCGGGTAATGCATTATTCCATTGCCGTTTCTCAAATTATGTTTGTAACAGCCGTTGTACTTCCCACCGTTTTTAAATATATACTCTCCGTATCCCTGTCGCTGGTCGTTCGTATACATTCCCACGTAGGCGTCGCCGTTCGGTAAAATAGTTCTGCCGAATCCATGTCGCTCGTTCCTACTATTACGTTTGCCACTAAAATGCTATAATACGAAAAACGATAATATTATCATTGTTTATTTGAGTTCTAAAAGATCCGAAGAAAATTATATTTAAAAAAATCTTGTATTCATAATGACAGGAATTCATGTGAACGAGTAGTTTTTAAAGATATTATTATACGTTTTGTAGCATTATTGATGAAATTAACCAATTTGTACCCACCCCTAATACAGCCAGTGCGCGGCTCGCAATATCATTTTCGTTTAGGCCGTCATCTCCCTCTTCTGGAATGTATTCATAACCTTCAAACCCTTCATCTTCGGAATATTTGTAATCTCTATTTTCATTGGATACGTCAGCCATAATATTTAATTGCTTAAAAAATAACTCGTTTTGAAGTAGTAATATTTAACGAAGCAAACATTTATCTATTACATAAAGACGGTTATACAAATACTATAAAAACTGGGAAATGACAATGCTGGGTAACAAGGTATTTTTGCTAGGTAACATAGAAATATCATGTATCGAATAATAAAATGTGTTAGCACAATTAATTGATACATCGGAACAATATTTAATCTTTGGTGGTTACAATAACGAACAATTGAAAATGAAAATATAATTAGAGTGCATATTATGTATATATACGAGGGCTAATCAAAAAGTATCGAGACCGATAATATTACTCGGAAACCGAGCGTTGAAGAGCAAAACGATTTGTAAATCTAGTTTCTATGACTTATACTGAGCACATCTATTCGTATAAAATCTCTATAAACTTCTTCGTTTTGATTTGACGATATTTTTCTAAAATTTGTTTTTCACGTTTGGCGATTTCGTAATGAATCCAAAAGAAGCGGAACTCGCTGCCAATCGAGGGCACATTTTCAATTTTTCAATTGATATTTAATGGCAAACACCATGAAATGTTGCATCCCTCTGAAACTGGAAAAAAATGCAGACAAATTTTCTAAAAAATCTCCAAATCTGTCAAGTTACTCTTCTTTTGGGTTTATTACAAAATCGCCAAACTCGAAAAATATATTTTATAAAAATATCAGTGAAATCAAACCGAAGAATTTTATAGAGAAGCAATAAAGACAAATGTACTCAGAAAAGGTCATAGAAGCAAGTGATACCAATCCTACTGCTCTTCCTTTTCCGAATGATACTACCAGTCTTGATACTTATTGATTAGCCCTCGTATATATAGACATAAAATAATGTGATACCTTAGAATCAAAGATTGTATTAGACGTGTTTTATTTTATAAATTTCGTTTCTTATATTTATATACTGTGTACAATATATACAAATTATATTTGTATAGCTATATAATTCGTAAATAAGGTAGGGAACGGTTTACACTTCAACCATACAATTTTAAACCAATAGTATTGCAAGATTTTAGAACAAGTATTCAACCACAATATTTAAATAATTCATGAAATAGACATTAATTTGGAGCGTGTTTGTTGTAATGAATTAAGAAAAAGTTAGGTCTTTACGATCAGAAAACAAACGTGTAACCGAGAGTAATTCATTTAAAAACAATTGTTTTAGACGACAAAATTTAAAACATAACACATCATCAAATGATCTTAAAAATAACAAATAAACTTAAAAAGAAACTTCTAAGTATGCCGGTTTATTAAAATTATTCGTGGATGTTCGTGTATTTTACGCATTGGGTAAATTCGTGGTATTCGTTGAGAAAAGGGTAATTTTCATCATAAATATATACAGATGCTAAATAGTTAATACTTGTTTGTAGAAAGTACTTTATCAGAGTACGAGGTGCTATTCCAGCGTGTAAGGTAAAACAAAATCGGAGACAAATATTCAGAGGTTAACGGAGAATAATATGGTGAATTCAAACATGGCAGTAAATTACCCTATTAGGTATATGAAACACATTTTATGTGTTATAATTAGTCTTTATTGTAAATATTTGTTTTAACAATAAATACAAATTTGTATTTCGAAATGCTACGGCAGAATTCACCGGAAATCCGTTGATAGAGAAACGAAACTTTGTCAGTTTTGATATGGTTGCTGTTTAGTTTGGTTTTAAAATGTAAAGTGCTCGAACGGGCCTCAGGTATAATTATTAACAATTTCTCATTTTACCGAGGAGTATCTATAAAATAGCTACCTAGAGACAGGTAGCTAAATGTATTTTTGGGTAGATGAAAAACCAATACAAATGCGAATTGTTGAAAATATTATTATTTGGATTCGGCATTAAACACACTCACTGCCTGATAGCGTAAAACAAACAAATTCCTTTTTTCTATAGTTAGAAATTGTTTAAAAATAAATTAAATTATACCATGCGTTACAACGTTATAAATGTTTTCAATTATTGCACGAGAAAAATCAGCCGTTTCACATTTTGCATTTTTACTAGCCAGAAAATTATGTTTTTCGAGAAAAAAACACATCATAATAAATTAATAGACTCTTCACTATACTCAGAATCTAAAATAAAAAATATGTTGAAAACCCGAACTAGGTTTTTATTGTATAATAATACGATTTATCATTAAAAAGGTACTATCTATATTTAGGGATGTGGAATTTATCAGTAAAATGTTTCGGTAAATTTACGTGAATCATTTTAATGTATAACACCTACCGAAATCCATAAGAAGTGCTTAATTTTTATTATTTGGTTAGTTAATGTTAGATTTATTGACTTACCTATGAAAACTCTTTTTTTGATAAAACGAATTATAAAAAAAGACAGTAAAAAAATTACAAGGTAAAAAACGGACCATTAAAATATACTCGGTAAATTTACTAAGCTCAAGTTTCTACCTATATTATCGAAAAATCTGATTGGAATATTTCTTGTTAGTAAGCAAAAATATATGAGCATTTCGCTAGCCATCCCTAAATATGATTTTTGGATTTTGTGTGTAATTAGTGTAATTTGGGCGATAACGGTTAAATAACGGTTAAACATTCAATGTATTACACTGAAAAACACATTTTTTTTTTATAGATTTTCAATTTTCGTACCCTTTCAGTGTGCGTTTATAAATAATAAACCTTGCATTTTTTCAAATATAGAAGCACATATTTTTTACACTATATTTGGATAAATCATTATTTTTAAGCAATTCACATAAAAAAAAAATTTTTCTTCTAACTCAAAAATTGCCAGAAAAACAGCTATATAAAAGTTGAATTTAAATTAGTGAATTTTTTTAATTTATTCATAATTTCATATTTTGAAAAGTTTATTTGTAATTTTTTACACGTATGGTATACATTTGTTAGTAAATTTATTCGGAAATAATTATACATTTTATAGTAGCTATAATCGAACAATTTTTGAAAGAAAGAAAAGATATTTATGTAAGTTGTAAAAAAAAAAATTATTAATCCAAATCTAGAGTTGAAAATAGGTGTTTCCATTGAAAAAGGGTATAAATCTAGTTTACTACGACCCAAGATCATTGTTCAAAATGTGTGTTTTTGACTGTACATTAAGAATTTAAAAAAAAAAAGTTGGACGAACTTCGTTTGGAAGTTATGGGGGAAAACTTTATGAAGTTCTGGTTTTCCTTTACGCGTATTTCTTAGAGAGAACTAAACATTTTCAAAAACTTTTTTTTCTAATACGTGTGATTTTTAAGATTTGTATTATTAAAGTCAGAATGGGTCTATTTAGCTTAGATTTAGAGTTACAAATGTTCAAACCCTAGTGACCCCGCCAGGTCTCTAAGTGCACCCAAAATGCTATTTGTCAAGGTTTATGTACAATAACTTCAAAAGTAAGTATGATAAAGGTAAGTTTTGACTATACCAATGGATTAAGCGTTGAAAAACGCTTAAACGATTAAACATTTAAAAAAAAAAAAATTGAAAATGTTAAATTTTTACTAAGAAATACGTAAACGGAAAACCCGAATTTCATGAAATTTTCCCCGCAACTTCCAACTTTTTTTTTTAGATTCTTAATATACAGGTAAAATCACACATTTGAGATGGTAAACTAGATTTGTTTCGAAAAAAGTTTTATTGCGCATGTGCACACTGCAAGGGTATGAAATTTTAAAATCCATGAAAAAAAAAAGTGTATTTGAGTATTGCCCGTCGTTTCTCGAAATCCCCATTTCAATCTCCGAGGTCAACGAAGTGTAATATTTCGTTTTACCATAGTACCATTTGAGTGAAATACACTGTATAATGTATGTAAATACAAATAAATATAATTATAAATAATATGTGATTAAATTCGAGTAATTAATTGTTTTTTTTTTTTTTTTGTTTTAACATCACAGTGTTTAATATTTAATAAATAAAAAATAGTTGCAATATTGGTAGCTTATTGGGTTTATATAATTTGTCTACAATCGTAACAAAGTGTGCCTTCGTGGCGCAATGGCTAGCGCGTTCGGCTGTTAACCGAAAGGTTGGTGGTTCGAGCCCACCCGGGGGCGATTAATTTTTAGCAGGTTTTTTTTTATAATTTTTTAATTATTCATTCAGTATTTTAGATTCTGAATACAGTGAGGAATTTATTATCACTGCAGAACATTTTTTCTGTCTATTTTCTACTAGAAATCTTACGCAAATCAATAAACTAAAAACTAGTTTTTAAGAATACTTATTTATTTTTTTAATACAAATTTTAATGTTGTTATGTTTTCATAGTATTTAGTTGCATGTTATAATATGCATTGAGGAGTTCGTTTTTTTGATATTTTGTGTAGTTTTTTTTAATAATTGGGAGAAACCGAAACGTATACGGTGATAACGGGTTCGTTATTTTCGATTATGTTCTTTGTTGAAATTCGTTTTTACAGCATTATTATTATTTTATATAATTTTTATTAGCTCTTTTGAGTTGTTTATAGGCATTTTATATTTTAAATGTTTTTAGTTTTTATTTGATAGGCATATTTAATATATATAAATAAAAATGTTTTAGTAGATTCTTTTTTTTTATAAACGTTTTACGCTAACCTTTAACGTTTTGACGTGATTATCGAAAAAAAAATGACGGCATTTCAAAGCACTTATTACGTTATATTTACTAATACTAATTTATAACCAAAATATTCATTCAGTAATGATACTAATATTGAAATTCGGAATAAAACTTTTGGTAGAAAACGAAAATCAAAAAAATTGATAATAATGAAATTATTGTTAACTTTGTAAATCTGTCCGTTTTTATCTTACGTTTAATTATATTTTTTTTTTGGGGGGGGGGTTTCTGTTATTATAAAAACCGATTGGGAAATCAAAAACATCACCTAAACGTACCAATAATAAATTGATAATTCAACAAAAAGAATATATGTATTATTGTCGTTTTTTGATTGGAGCGAGATTTCTGCTACTGG